CTTGCCAATTTGGCAATAAATTCCTTAAGAGCGGGCATCATGTCTTATTTCGAGTGTATATGTTGTGTTTCCCCCACATACAGGGTCCTTGAGGGAGATTCAGTGGTTATTGACTTTTCCATTTTCCCCCAGCATCTTGCCCCAGGGCTGAGCCCACACACAGCCTGCAGAAACACTTGTGGATTTGTTTTAGATGTGCACAGCATCTGCTTGAGTGTTCAGCACACAGTGAGCACTGCATAAATTGTATTTTTAGAGACAATCTGTTACCACATAAGGATTACCAGAAGTTACTCATACTCTTTGTGTAAGTAGATTTATACAATTATAATATCTAAGAGCTGAAATAAGAATGAGGGAAGTAAAATCATGAGGCCTTTTTTAAGCAAAAAGACATGTTAGAGCTTCTGGTCAAAATGTGTTCACTGGTGTGTCAGAGAACAGGTGTGTAGTTTGTTGAAAATAACTTGTTATTAATGAGAATGTGTCAAGTTTGAGAATGATTTACTATTTTCAATGAATTAAAGTGGATTCCAGTTTTCTCCAATGGCATCATTTTTATTGAACTGTTTTATCGAGTGAGAAGGCTAAACCTAACTACTTTATCTGACAAAAAAAGCAAAAACAAAAACAAAAACAAAACGGAGGCTCCGTGAATGGAAGGACCTGGTCCAATGTCACACAGAGAGTTCGCAGAAACGTGGAGGCTAAATCCCATTGTCCTCAGATCCTCCTCAGGTCAGCAAACAAGAAAGAATCAGTGTGACTTAAGAAAAACAAAACAGAACCCAGTAAAATTTTAAATCTTATTCAAATAGCAAAAATATTTATCTCCTACTCGGAGATCAGGGCTTAGGAAGGATTTCTCTTGGACAGGCACAGCAAGACGAGTTTGTGAAATGTCTTATTTCCTAGCCCTCTGTTATAAATCATTTGAGAAAGTATATATTTACCCCTCTCTTTCTAAGACTTGACTTTATCTTTGTACAAATATCCATCCTTGTATATTTGATTTTGCCCGACAGAGAAACTCAGAAATCCTGATTGAAAAACAAACTGCATCAATACGGACAGAGCTTCTCCTCCTTTTAGTCTGTAAGAGCAGGAAAATTAGCTTGTTTTTAAAATTTTGGAACATTTGACCTCTTTGCATAGTAGAACTGAAAAATTTTCTGATGAATTTGCACGAAGCAAAATCTAAATAAATGCAGTTTAAAACGAATGAATTATTTCAACAAACCCCTACCCTGACTTACACAGATTATTACTTAACATATATTTGCTTTTCAGAGATCAACTTAGCAAATAAAATCTATTTTGTTCAAAAATTTCAAGTTAAATATTTGAAATGGAATTACATTTTAAGTCGTCAGTATTCCAGTGACATCCTTTTAAATGTATTTTTAAGATGGTGGGGGTTTGGACAAGGATAACTCACACTGCCTTTTTAATAAACTTCTGTAACATGACAGAAAAACACACAGGAAACTGTTGTTGGATTTTCTTTTCATTCACTAATGCTTTTAATAAGCCCCTCAGAAACCTCTGGAAAGCAGAGAAATTTTTTGAATGGATACATTTTTCCTCTTTTTTATTCTTACATGAGAACACGTCAGCTGAAAATTACAATATTGAGGGCTTTATTTCTTTGTTTCCAGTTAAAAATCTATATGAGCAGATAGAGACACATTGGTCCAGCAACAAAACTATGACTGAAGTTTATGATGGTGAAGAGGCCAAATACCTCCTGTCAGCTAAGAGCTTTGCTCATTGGAATGAATCATTGAATTTCTGAAGCTCAACTAAGTTGTCCAAGGGTCTGTCAGTCTCCCTGATAATAAGAAACTTGGCAGTGTTGGTTAAAAGGGTGGGGTGATAAATCAGTAAATGGGAAAAAAATGCTATTTTCCCTGAAATGTGATAATGTGCTCTTCTTAGATAGATTGATAGTTTAGTTTGTTTAATTATCACAGTGGATAACTAAATTCATTTATCCATAAAAAAGACAACTCCTTGAAAAATAAACAGAAAACCCATCACAATTCCCCCCCACCCAACACACACACACAAAAAGGCGGTAGGATTTTGTGATTTACAAAGAAGTAAGAAAAATGGTTTAAACTTTTGTTTAAAGTCAAGCTTGGGAGGAGAGATTAACCCAAGATAAATTGTGCATTTGGATGCTGTAGGAAAAAAAAAATCGGAATAGGGCTATATCCAAAGTAGAAAAATGAAAACAGAAGTATAAGAGATTTTCAGGCTTAAATAATACTTGTCTCAATCCCTATTTTGTTTTGTGTGAGCAGCCATTTCCAAAGAGGTCTAAACTCACAGAGAACCAAGGTTGAATGTGTCCACTGAGTTCATCCAGTTCAACACTGTTCCTGATGGGGACCTGAGGCCCAATGAGAACCATGACTTATCTGTACAGCTTTATTGCCACACTAAGGCCAGAACCTCAGATCCTAGGACTCTTCACTGTGAAATACCACTTGTAGGCTCTTATTTTGTCTAAATTGAACTGTATGTAACAATCTTGTTCCGACAGAAATATGATTTACTATGGTTTTTTAACTCTGATTGATTTGTTTCTTATGTCTTCCAGAGAAAAGATAAATTATTTGAGTCATAATAAAAACTAAATGATAAGCTCTGGAAGAATTTATCATTCAAGCTGATCAGAGAGTGCATTTTCTCTTAACTGATAATGTCCCAATTCCAAAAGCCAATAACAAGACAATCTCACAGCTCAGCAGCAGTAAAGCTACTTTTCACTCTAGAATGAAATCTTTGGATTCGATGAACAGACCCAAGTATCACTTAAAAAATCGGGCCTGCCTGCATGTGATTAACTTTAGATCTTGGCTATGTGTTACTACACTTCTCTGCCATCTTCATGGGGTATGTCTCTGTGTGTGTGTGTGTGTGTGTGTGTGTGTGTGTGTGTGCGCGCGCGTGCATGCGCTTGTGTCTCATAAAGTTCTGAAAATTTTCAAACAAAATAATGTAAGACTTCCAGGAACAGCTGATAATTCATTGTAATTATGCTTTAAACTTAGATCCTCTAGTTTTCAACCATTTCTTCAGCGTTTATATGAGAACCACAGACTCATTCACTCATTCATTCATTTATTGACTAAACAGAAATATTTATTGGAGAGTTAGGTATTATGGTCCAAAACACTATGCCAGTATTAACGATATAAAAGTAAAAGAGGCAGATAGGGGAGGGATTTGTCTGAGGATTACCCAGAGTATAGTCCATCAGGAATCCTGTCTGCCTGATAGTTGCTTTGTGAGCTAGAAAGTAACTTAGATTGTCTGTTGTGGAACACATTCTGCCAAGATCGAAATGTCCCAAAATTCTAGGAAACAATCTGACACATAACTAGCTTAAATGTTCTTTTTATGGTAAATGTTGATAGGAAACATAAAATAATTTAAAATAAAATTAACAAAAATGATATATAAGTAATTATAAAAAATTTTTGCCCAGGGAAGTATGGATGAGGCACACTTTCCACCCCAACCAGGATTGACAAAATCTGTTTTGATGCTCTATTTTTGTTTTTATTTTTGAGACAGAGTTTCACTGTTCTTGCCCAGGTTGGAGTATGATGGTGCAATCTTGGCTCTCTGTAACCTCTACCTCCTGGGTTCAAGCAATTCTCCTGCCTCAGGCTCCCAAGTAGCTGGGATCACAGGCATGCGCCGCCATGCCCAGCTAATTTTCTGTATTTAGTAGAGACAGGGTTTCACCATGTTGGTCTCGAACTCCTGACCTAAGGTAATCCGCCCACCTCAGCCTCCCAAAGTGCTGGGATTACAGGCATGAGACATTGTGCCCAGCCTATTCTGATGCTCTTTTTCTAGTATCAACGGGCACATAAGGAACTTAATATTTGATATTACATGTGTCCAGAATGGGGAGCTGTACATTACCTTTATTCCCATTTCAAATGATCTTGTCAAGGGATCTAGTAATCTGGTATACTAGCACCAATTCTCCTTTAGCAAAACACTTCGGAATGTGGTTATTCCAATTGTTTCAGCTACCTTATGAAAGCTACATGAATAAACTAAATATATTGCACATATATTGGTAATCCTAAGAGAGGATAACTTGTTTTAAGCCCTCATGTCCCCACAGGAATCTCAAATCCTTTGTTACATTATATATTTGTGATTTGGAGCATGCCTGGCAGATACACTCTAATATTCAACTAAATGTAAATAGTCAAATAAGTAAGTTTGCCATTGCATCACCATAATCACAGGAACAAATGAACCCCCTCCTTTTCTCTCTCATTATTTTTTCTAACTCTACTTTTTAGGAATATAGTGATGGAATGTCTATTAATGAACTCATAATTTCTATTCCTTGGATTTCTATGTCAGTCTCTTGTTTTATTAAATACAAATGTATTAGGTCACATATGGTATTAGACTAAAATTTATAATAAAAAACCAATTGGCTTTGGTGTAGGTGTGTGTCTGTGTCTGGTGAGGAGAGTAAGCAATCAGCAGACCTAATCAGTACTTAGAGAGGCATCTCTATTTGAATTGCTTTTGTTGTTGCTTACTGGTAATTTTTTAAGTCCAATACTAATGGACAGTCATGGGAAAGTATTAAGATATGTTTTTATAAAGCTCATTTTACCTGAAACATGTAAACTAATCATATAAAGAATCAAAGCCTTTATCTGTAAGCATATCAAGACAAGGAAAACTGTCCCAACGATATTTTGTCCTTCATTCCTCTTTATAGATTCTAGTTATCTTTTCTAACTAATTTAAATGTTCATTGTTTATGAACATTTATTTATTAACTGAAAGCTAATTACACATAAAGTAACTATGTAAACAATTTATCCAGTAAAATCCAATATCATTTGATCACATTTCCAATGTTTCATTTTGCCTCATAACAGCTCAAACTATGACTTTTATTTTTTGAAACAATGTCACCATTAGGCACAGAAGTCTATTTACACAAGAGCTTGTTTCATTTGACATTTATTCCAATAACTTGAGAACAATTATTTGCAACTAAATCTAACAGTATTTGTACAAGTACTTTCAAGCTAAAGTACTGCTGAAAAATTTCAACATACATGCAATTCAATATGTTTACATAATAACATACTTTATTATAAAACCTGTGACTCTAAGCACTTTATGGAATATGAATAAAGGAGTCATTCTACACTCTACTGTAACGTGGCCATATCTGAGAAAGGAGATGCTGCTGAGCAGAAGAGTCCTGTGTTCAATTGTGTTGAAATGGGCTGGCTACTTGGACTCTTCAGGACTGCTACTGTGCTGTCATAGCATTGCTCGAAAGCCTAATTCACACTAAACTTCAGCAGACTTTCAAACACAAACCCTTAGCCACCAAGAAACTGGTAACCTGAGCAGCCTTGGCAAAACACAGTTACTATGCAGGTGGGCTCTGTTTTAAGCAAAGTTGATATTGAAAATCCAAAAATACAAAACAGATAAATTAGAGAATGGTTATTTGTATTATAAAATGGTTTTACACTTTATGAAAGAATTCACAAGTTTCCTCTAAATGGAAGCTCCTCTAATGCATTTAAAATACAATTTGATTTACAAAAGTTCCATTTACACGTGACTTTTTGCACAATCATTGTGAGAAACAAATTACACCTATATACAGTACTTAATTTTTTCTCTCTTAAGATTAAGGTGTCTTATCAAAGTACTGATAAAAGACACTTAAGCCAAAATGTTGTATTTCAAGCCACTGAAATAGAAAGTAAATATTCCCTCTGAAACATGGATATTCTTCCCGAAAATTTAAGAACATTTAAAAATTTTGTATTTACAATCTTGATAGTGATAGTCATCTTTACAAAGTAGCGCTTTAGATAGCACAAGTACATAGCTTTCTTTAGGCCATGATAATGGGTCTTATTTTGCAGAAATTTGTTTTAATTTATCTTATTTTGGTGTTTTTTTTTCTTTTTAACTGTGTAATTCTAAAGAGATGTTAGACTATAGCTAGACTATTTATTATATATCACTTTTATACCTTACTGCACAGAATCGCCTTTAAAAACTTAACTTCCTGCATTGCATTACTGTCTCCACTGTTTAATCTGGGTGATTGCTATTCAGGTAAGATTCTCCCTTATTAGCACTAAGCTCCTTGCCAGGGTGAGGGTGAGTAGTAGGGGGTGGGGTGGAGAGTGAAGAGGGTGTTGTGAGGAGGGGAGAGATCCTGCCTACTGTGCCTCAGCACATAGCCTAGAGCCAGGCCCCCAGGAAATAAACACTCCATAACTACTGAATGAACAAATGAATGAAGAAATGAATGTACTGGGAGAATTGTCTGGAAGGCTTTCTTCACTCTAGCATTCAATCCAGTATATTTATGGAATATGTACAATCAAAATGAATTTTCAGAGTCTGAAAAATCACAGAACCTGTCTCTTGTTCCTTAAATGCTTTTTGTAAAATTCATAAATTATTAAGCCCTTGATGACTTGGAGGCATTAAGAAAAATTAAGTCACATTAGAGGTCAGAGGAAAGACAAGAGGAAATCGAAGGATCATTTGCTTACTCACCAGCTGCTGGATAGAACTAACAAGGCACACAGGTCGACCAAAGTTCAGAGCCAAAATAGGCTCTTAGCAATTGTGTTCAGACTGAGAAGTGGTACTTTTGAGTGTTTCAATAAAAACTTAGCCACAGGTATATTCGGAAACAGTGAACACAACTAATTAAGAGCTAAAATAGAAGGGAATTACCATTTTTCATTTGTAGGGTCAGACATACAGATCTGTTCCTGGCAGGGCCCTGGGAGACCACATTCTGTAGGCTGGAACCATTTTGCTGTGCTGATGCTCATACCTCTTAAAGCTGCATGTGAAATAAAAGTGAAATAGCAATATCCAGCTGTGGAAGATAAAAATAAAAATCCTAAAATAAAATATGGTGGAAAGTGCTTGAGCAGATAAAGCAAAACAGAATATAGTCAGTGGGAATGCTAGTGAGTTAATAAAAATTAAAGTGTTTATGATTGCATTAGGAAATAAAGGTTCGAATGGTATGTTGTATGATGCTTTTAAATAAAATAGTATGGACTACATTCAAAGAATTACATTTAAAAATCTACTGCAAATAAAATATAAATCTAACAAGCAAGAGGATATAGAATTAAGCCATACTTATTAGGCAAAAGAGTTTATAAATTTTAGTTCTTCTAGAAGTCTTCATTAAAATCTTGTAAGTAAATTAATATTAAGGTATCATCTCTCTTTAAGCTTAATGAGTTATTATTTTTTTTTCTATGGACAATGGCATTTTATAGGAATGGGTTTACTTTCAGAAACATAAAAATAAACACTTAAGTGGAATCACTGCATCAAGAGCTCTAGTCACATAATTTAAGCCCCAGAAGTTCTTAACAGGACATATATGCAAATTTGCCTTCATAATCACTTCCCAAAATACCTACCTCTGTATTCTGTATGTATCATTGCATCAAATGAGAGCAGTCAGAAAAGGGTTTTTGAAACTCTTTTATATATAAATACTTCACTGAAAGATGAAACGGTTTCCCGGAGTCATCTCCAAATTCAACTAGCAGAATATTCTAGCTTCTCTTCTGCGAAATGTAAAATATCTGTACATTAACTTTCTCGTAGATCATTTCAGCCCACCATTTTCAACTTCCTTCTAATGGACCAAAATAGGAATTATCACTTGTTACCAAAGAATGAGCATGTTAGCTTGCCACTGTAGATATTCAGAGATTTTATGTTGTTAAAGGTATTTCCTTCTTGAATGCCCTTTACATGATTATATATACACAATTACCTTCTATTGCTTTTACAAACAAGTATTTTGCACCAGTAATTATTAATCCAAATAATTTGGATTTAAGAAATTTCTAACTGAAAGCCTATCACGTGAATTGTTTATAGTGACAGACAATATGCTATTAGTAATTTTAAAGCTTTAAAAGTAAGTTATCAGGATCCACTTCAATCTCCACGTGATGATAAAGGATTATTATGTGCAGTAACCTATTTATGAAAAGGAAACAGTGTGCTTCTTTCAGACACCATCACTTGCTTTAATAAGGAATTGAAAAGCTGAACTACTTTATATGCAGATCACCATCCCAGTTGCATAAGGATTTACAATAGACAAAACAAAACTATTTTTTGTTGTAAAGAAGGGCTGTTTGTTTAAATCACACAATAATGTTTGCATCTAAAAATTATTTACAGTCTAATAAGGCTCATAAATGTTATATAGACTTGGCTAATTAAAGTCATTTTAATGCTAAGACCAAAACAAAAATCTTGCTCAAGCTGACAGGGAAAACTCCAAGTTACACATGCCTCAAGACGGCAGAAGGAAAAAAAATAAAAAATGTTTCCTGTCTTGGTTTAGGTAACTGTTAATCGCTTTGGAGATGCAAATAGTACGTGATTTGATAGCACCCCATGCATGCTCCAATTAAACTCAAGAGGGAAATGCTGTCTTGTCAGAAAATGTTAAATTGAGAAGGATTATGAGTCTAACCTGTGATCTAAAATAAATAGAAAGTAATGTATATGTTTTTATCTCTGCTACCTTAAATTTTGCAGAGAACTTACTTGGGAAGATTTAATCTCACCCATGAAGTCTTCCTTCAAGGTATTTAATGGCTCATATGTCTTTGTTAAATGAGGTGTGTGGCGGCCTCTACTGGTGTGTGTTTATAGAAAATGTTTCAATAGGCAGAAAAAATATTAATTTCAATTAAAAAGTTAGAAATACAGACTTCTTCATTTAAATATATAAAAATATCTAATCAATGCAGAAAAATATACTACTAGCTGTGTCATGTCCTTTTAATTAGGAAAATAATCTAAAACACTCACCATGTTAGTGTAAAGTAATGATTTACGGAAGGGCATTAATTGCTCAATTCACTCTGATATTGGGTTAAATATATTTTATTAATGAATTATTAATCCTGACTGAGGTGGCTTATTACCTCTAGTCCACTGTTAAATCCCCTTAGTTGGCTTAAATAAAATCACTTAAACCCAGAGGAAAGGAAATATCGTATAGTTAAGCCTACAAAGTCCTAGAACTAGAATCATTTGTTGACAGGCTGGTTTCTATAACTCAAGCAAACTGCACGTTGACTTAATATAGCTGACACATCGATCTATTTTACAGTGTTTTCAATTTCAAAAATACAACACATTAAAATAGTTTCAATTTATCAAAGCTAAAAGCAACATTTAAGTAATGTACTTAAAGTGCGAAGGCACTTTAACACAAAGTAGTGAGGCCCAGTGGCTATACTTGGTAACTGAAGATGGAAATACCATATATCATTATTTACAAAAGAAGTTGTAGTCACAAAAGATCTTTGGAGATCTTCTACAAAATACACTAAATATCCATTTTCATTTGCAAAGTTTGCCTATTCTTTCTTCAGTCACTATAATCTCCTCTTCCCACTCCCACACCGAAAAACAAAGAAGAAAAAAGAAACAAAACCATAAACAAAATATTTGAAGAAATGCATTACAGAAACATTCAGGTCCACTGATCGTTCCTAAGAAGAGAAGGAAAAAAAAAGGAGGGGAGGAGAACGAGAGAGAAATAATTTAAAGGAAAACTTGCAAAAGCAATATCATTACTTCACCCCATCTCCCAAACATCTTCAAAGTCCCCCATTTACACTGGGAAAGGGAGAACACAAACAAACACAAAAGCTAATGTCCTTGTTTCCAACAGTTTGGAGTAGCATCCTGTGATGTCTTAGGGTTGTAAATGATTTCCCTTCACAGCTGACTGATTGCAGTTTGTTTTTCCAGAACTTCGAGGTAGTCCGGTTCTGACTGCGGCTTAGCTTGCAGTAAAGGGTGGCTGGGTTTTGACTGCCCCACAAAGCATTTCCTGGGAGTTCCATATAAAACGGTTTTATTGATTCTGTCTTGGTTTTGGCGTCGAGATTCATAGGCAGGGGCAAACTGCCGTTTAGGTAAGGTACAAAAGTTATAGTGAACTAGGCCTGCGCTGGGGAGTTCCTTGACTCGCTCAGCAATATTTTGATACAGCAGCTCAGGCTCTCTTGGTGTGGCCTGCTTTTCTAGCAGCTCAGTGGCACTTATTGTGTAAGCAGGAGTGGCTGGCTCTTCTTTTTTCTCCTCCAGGTTGCTATAGCTGAACTCTTGCAGGTTTCGGTAATAAGCTACTGGGTCTCCTTCCTTCTGCATGTAGATGGGGTTTTGGCACATCTGACCCACAGGTGGGGTGATATAGTTGTAGACATGGCCGTCTGTTTTATCGTGAGTCTCAGTGTTGTAAGACCCATACTGTAATTGAAAGGAACTTGCGTCTAAGCTGTTGGTATTCCTGCGAACACTTGGCACTCCCTTTCGGCGTTTCAAGACAAAGACGAATAAGCCGGCCCCAAAACAGACGGATAAGATGAAAACAACAAGCAATCCCAAAATTAAGACAGAAAGTGGAACTTCGGTGTGTAGTTCAGGATAGGAACTAGGAGACACACTAAGTGACCGAGGTGTGTCTGTATTGTGATTCATTGATAAAATGGTCCCATCTGACAAGTTTGGACTCTCCGGACAGATAGCCTCCCTCCCCAGAAATTTTAGTATCTCCCCTGCATGCTTAGCAGGAGATTCACAAGTCACCTCATTAATGATGACAGGGGAATTGGCATGTTCTGTCCAATCTTTTAACCCCATGATGTCACACGTACAGTCCCATGGGTTCTCTTGCAGATCTATCTGGATGAAAGCTGGAAGTTGATCCAAGACCCCTTTCACAGGCAGGTGAGAAAAATGATTGTTTCTCAGATTCAGCCTGGTGAGGGCCGTACCCCCAAAGATGTTATCAGGTAAGGACCGGAGAAGGTTGTTATTCAGAAACAGTAGCTGTAGGTTAATCAAAGCATCAAATGTCAGAGGCTTAATTTCCTTAATGACATTATACTCTAAATAGAGATATTGCAAGCTCTGCAGTCCATCAAACATAGAAGGATACAGCACTTCAAGGTAATTGCCATTCAGATAAAGTCTGCGTAAACTGGTCAGGTTTGTAAAGGCACCTTCCTGAATGACTGCAATCCGGTTGTTTCCTAAATGCAGTAAGTCCAAAGAACCGTATTCTAAGAGGTCATTCTTATAGACAGTTTGAAGATAGTTCCCTGTTAGGTAAAGTTTCTTTGGACTGGTAGGTTTGGGCTGCAGGTCAGAGATATTAGTGAACTTCCTTTCTTGGCAGTTTACATTCAGACCGTTGTCTGAGCTCTGAGAAGTGCAGACGCAGCTGCTGGGACATGTGAGAGGCACAGGAGGCTTGGTCTGGTACACCATGATGGGTCCAAAACTTTGCCTGTCCTTTGACACAGTCACCCGGGGAGTTGGACGATTTCGCATTTTGGGTGGCCGGCTGGCTTTGGGAGCCCTGGTTGGACTGAGGGCAGGATTCATTGTAGGTGACAGCCTTTGGACGTGTGTGTCGGCATGGCTGCCCCTCTGACTGGAATCACTGGCACTTTTTCTGGGACAGAGGTCTTGCCTGGTCAGCTGGGTCACATCTTTCCCATGCAACCTAAAGGGCGTTTCGCAGACAATCTCTCCCACAAACACAGTTATGGTGTCTAGCCAAGCCTTGAGAGGAAGTAAGTCACAGGTGCAATTCCAGGGGTTTTCCTCCAGCTGAATCTCCATGATCCCTCCAATATGTTCAAGGACGCCAGCAAAAGGCATTACTTTTAGCCTATTCCCCCTGAGGTCTAAGTGGGTCAGCAGGACAAAGCGGAACACATTGCTGGGCAGTGAAAGCAGAAGGTTGTCATTGAGGATGAGCACTTTGAGCTTGTTAAGTTTGCTGAATGCACCAGCCTCGATGGCACTGATGTAATTGTAGTCAGCCTGGAGATACTCCAGGCTCTCCAGGCCCAGGAAAGTGTCCTCCCTCAATACCTCGAGCTTGTTGTTGTTAAGATGCAGTCTCTTGAGGGTTTTCAGGCCACTGAATGCCCCCGTTCGGATCTCCTGTAACCCGTTGTTACCTAGGTGAAGAGTCACTGCGTTGGAGTAATTGACAAATTCGTTTGGATACAGTCTTGTCAAGAGGTTTCCATTGAGAAAAAGCTGATAGATTCTATACTGGGGGGGCTGGAGCAGGCTAACTGTTGTAAATCCTTTGTTTTCACAGTTAATATTCAGTACGTTTTCCTTCTCTTCGCACAGACAGCGGATCTTGCAAATGTCTTTGGCAGTTTTGCGACTCTCCGTCTGTAAGATCCCGGCCACGGTTAGCACACTGAGGAACCAAACGCCGCTCAGCATCTTTAGGCACCTTCGGTGTCAACTCAGGTACCTGCAGGCAAACCTTAGGTGGAGGGCAAGGGGAAGAAGTGGGTGCAGGGAAGAAAGAAACAAGGAAGCCCGATTAAAAATGGTAAAGCAAGGAGGCGGAGTGGGAGCGAGGGAGAATGAGGGGGTTGGCAACACGGCAGAATGAAATCATTGCATTTTTCAAAGCGGTTTCTTTTCTCCGCTCCCTATTCCCCCACCCCGAGGCCACCCACACACGCGCCCCGGGAACACACATGCTTGCACCTGATTTCCCGGGGGGTCGCAGCCAGCCGCCAAGTCATTAGTAACCAAGTTGTCCTACTAAATCCTGCCCATCTCCTCCTCCCCTGGGATATCTCGAAGAGATCTCGGGCGGCTCGCCCGTCTTGGGCTTCCAGCAGAAATCGTAATGGCTTTATTAAAAAAAAAAAAAAAAAAAAAAAAAACCGCAAAAAGGGGGTGGGAAAATCAGGAATAAGGGGGCTGGCGGCAGGGATAGAGGGGGGATAGAGATGGCAAAGACAGCGCGGGGTGGAGGGTACTCACACATCAGGAGAAGACAGAACCCCGCTCCTCTGCAGTCCACCAGGAGTTTAGCATCTTCAGGAAGAGGGAGAACAAGGTACAATAAGACGCTGCTTCCAGGGGGGGATGCTCTGCTTTTTGTTGGTTGATTTAATTTGACTGGGGGTGTGCAGAAATTAAAAATCCGACAGGAGGCAGGAGCGGAAGAGGAGAGTTGGAGCGGAGGGAGTTGGAGCGGAGGGAAGCCGAGCTGCCAGGGAGGGACTGGGGTGCGATTCTGTAGGGAGGTCGCAGAGCCGGCTGGCCCGGTCGCCGGACGAAGGCGACGGCGGAGCCTGGGCGCGCGTTTCCAATCCGGTGGCGGCGGCAGCAGTGCGTCTAGCAGTTTGAATTTGAGAGGCTTTGCAGGCTCGCTGGGACAGGACTAGGGTGACGTCACAGGGGAGGGGGCAGGCAGAGGATCCAGGGCGCGCGGTGGGGGAGGGTTGGACAGATGCTTCCCTTCCTTGCAAGTGGCTTTGCAAAGCTCAATTCCTGGCTGCGTCAGTTGATTCTGAACTACTCCACCTCCAACCTGGCTGGTGGCAGGAGACGCTCCTGCAGAGGGATTTCTCAAGGAGGGACCCTGCTCTTGGGCTGGCACCTCCTCTGGCCCCTCTCTGTGTTCTCTTTGACTCCTCCCTCTTTCTCTCACCTACACAATACCTTTGGAGGGCAGGGGTGGGGGTGGGGGATTCTTACCCCAGATTCCCAAGCAAGGGAGAACTGTGTAAGAGTGTGTGTCTGTGTGTGTGTGTGTGTGTGTGTGTGTGCGCGCGCGCGCGCCCATGTGGTGTGCCTCTTTGCTACAGGACTGGTGCCCCACTTGCCAGCTCCTAGCTCAGATGCTCTCTGTGCAGAGAGTGGGGTGTGTGTGCATGCACCAGTGTGTCTGTGTAGGAGGGCGAGGAGTTCTCTTAGGGGATTTATGCTTTACATACAGAGCCTTGATTCAGTGCTTGGGAGAATTCCTTTCTGGGTGGTGACCCACCAAACAGATATTTGCCTGGACTCTGAAAGTCAGCTCAACGTTAGCTTACAGACTGAGAAAAACAAAAACAAAACCGTTTTCTCCCTGAGGTTTATACTTAGCCAGATAATGAGGTTTAAACGTGCGCTTCTTGCCTGGAGGAAGGAGAAAAGAAGTGGGTGTCAGAAAAGCACTGCCAGGCTGAGCCTCAGCTGGGAGTGGGAGCCAAGGGAAGGGTGGTTGAGCCCTCCATGCTGCAGGGGCAGGGGAGCTAGGAGAAAAGAGGGAGCTGCTACAGAAAGACTGGCCCCTGAGGAAGAGAGGAGGCGTGGCAGGAGTCCTAGCCTGAGACCCAGCCTACCTGGGTTCTCATCTGGCTCTGTTGCTAGATGTGTCACTGGCTCCTGGATCTTCCTGTCTCCATCTGCAAAAGGGGAGTAGGGAGACTATGTGGGCCCTCCCAGCTCTGACATCCAAATCGGGTTGAAATAACATTTTCAGAGCATTGATAACAGCTAGGTGTTGGATTTTTGCCTTCATTATCTGTTTTCTCCCTAATTATCTTACAGTTCCTTGGACCCAAGAGTCTTTCATTGTGGAGGCAATTCACAAGGGGTAAATCATGTCTGCTGTTGCCTAAAAAGGCCTTGGGTTGCCTCTGGTAGGAAGAGGGAGATGGGTCCGGAAAAGCAGGGAATGAAATAACCTGGGAAAAAGAATTGTGCAAATGATGTGCCTGTGTTTGTGCCCACCATACACTTCGGCTTGCTTTCCCAGGTTCCCACTACTTGGCCAAATGTGGAATAGACAAAACCACAGATATAACAAACCACTTGAGAACAGAACGCCCCCTGCCCCCTGCTCCTCCCCTTCTCCTTCCTTGTCAAGCCTAGGCCCTAGGATTTTTCACTTTATACAACCTTATTCCTCTTCAGGAAGAGCCTGGGTAGTTTATAAACTTAGGCACTACGGCAACCTGTAGCTCTGTGATCTACCGTGCATTGTGCATTATTTTCTGGGGCTTTCTCCCTTTCCATTCCTTCTTCTTCCAAGAAAAGCCTTGGACCAGGCATCAGCAGTCCCCTTACCCTCTAAATCTTGTTTGGCCTTTAGCAAAATATTTGCCTTCTGGGGACTCAAAATCTCCTTCTCTATACCATATGGCAAACTTCAGATGAGTTCTGAGGCAGAGCAACAGCCCTGCGGATGGCCTTCCACTCTAGATTGCAATTGCATCATTAGATGGAAGCAGTCTGATGCAGTGGGAGCAGAATTAAACTACCTTTCCTAGCAAAGGAGGCATTTGTTTATAAGTATTTCCAAATATTCAAAGCACATAGTTCCTAGAGCAATAAGATTGATTCATTCAGTCATTCATTCAACAAACATTTGTTATGTTAATATCTAACTAAAGTAAAAGCCAGTGTGAGAGCTGAACGAGACCCTAGAAGTCAGGTTCATTTTACAGATGAAGTCATTTCTCAACCAGGGAAAGTGCTGACTTACTCCAGAAACTGCAATTAGAAATAAAACCCAGAGATGATGAGTCCCAGTCCATCATCTTTCCAGAAAGCACACTACTGCTTACTATGAATTAAACATCTACTTAAACTTAAATAGTGGGGGTGCTGTTTTACTTAAAGGTATGCTTTTTATTTTAAAAAGTATATTTGAAAGTTAAACAACAAATACTAGTTTTACTTCTCACATACAGTAATTTCCTTCAAGACATTGATGACGCTTTCAATATTACTTGAGGACAGACTGTTTTTGCTAAAAATTTCAGAGAGGAGAGAGATTGAGAGATAAAGGTGGAGGCGATTGGGGGCTCTTGAAATTCTTGAGACCTACAGAATCAAGGAAATTCATTGGTAATCTAACTGTGGGGAGCGACACGGGGACCCTAAGGGGGTGTTCCTTCCTGCCTGTGCCTGAGAATTAACAGCCGCTTTCCAAAACATAGTTACTGGGAACAAATCAGCCTGAAACGCGATAACCACTTTAAGTAAGTTTCATTTGGTCCAGTTCATTCTGAAGAACTGCCGCAGCACCCAGCTAAGGAGAGCAGGCTTTTAAGGCCAAAGGTTGGGGTGAACTGGAACCCCAAGGGAGGCAACGGCGGTCATTAAAATCAGAAGAACGCTCCCTGTCTTTGCTGAGGCGAGGGAGGCTTCAAGAAGAACTCTGTCGCCTGTGTATCCGAGTAAAGCCTGGCTCAGGTCGCCAAGGCTTTCACAGGACAAGGTGGGTGCCGGCGGGCTTTAAGCCCACCTCCGTACCCGCTGCCCATCAGGCCACGAGGGGGCTAAGCAGAGTCCAGGAGGACTGAGTGGGGGCACGGCTTGCCCGCAGCCTCCTACTCTAAACACTCACCGCCCAAAAGCCGGGTCGAATCCCGTTTCCGAAGGGCGCTTCCCGAATACCAGGTGTCTCCGCGGGTCCCCGATCGCCAGTCACCGGGCACCGGCCGTCAGCGCCGCCCTACCTTCCCTGCCCCTACCTGCAAGACGCCTGGTGCGGTGTCCGGCATGCGACTCCACAGCCGCGACGGCCACTCGGGGTGCCCTCGCCTCGGGGCTTGGATAGTGCAGGCCGACCCGAGGCTTCTAGCTCACGCCGGGTGTGTGGGGCCTCCCTGGCCGCCTGTGCCACCAGGCTACGCGACGCGCGGTGCCCGACCACGCCCGCGCGGACGGTCCGGGGGTGAGGAATCCCTAGTGGGGATTCAGGGTAGAGGGCGGCCGCCAGCGAGCCGCCTGACGCGGATGGCGAGCAGCCTTGCGACCCTGTCCCCCTCGCAAGGAGAGGTGGCCCGGAAAGGCAACGGACTGGGGAGAAAGCCGGCTCCTTGGCCGCGTCGCCACCGCGTCCCTGAGCGCTCAGAACTTACCCGGCGAGCGCGGTGCCGAGATCGTCCCCCGGAGGAGCCCGCAGCATCTGCGACTCGGAGAGGCACTGGAGCCGGCACTGCTTCGGACTAGCGCAGCCCGGGAGCTAGAGGACCGCGGGGAGCCCGGGCGGAGCCCCCAGGGCAAGCAGATCCCCACCGGAGCTGCTAGCCAACTGGCAACGTTTCTCGCAAGAAGGAGGAGGGGAGGCGACAGGGAGTAGGGAAGTCGGGCGGGAGGGAGGAGAGGGGAATAAGGGAGGGCGGCAGGGAGGGAGAGATCGCGGCCCCTCTCCCTCACTGATCAATCACCCGGCAGATCAAATATCCAGGCTGGGCGCCCAGGACTGGGATGTTAGAGCCCACAGAGGAACCGCTGCTCCATTTCTTTGACAAGCGCTGCGGAGCACTGCTCACGCCTCTCGGCCCCTCTTGCCTGGAACTCTGCCCAGCCCTTGCGGCTCTACCCTGGGCTGCAGATCGGGCTCGGTCAAGTGAAATAAGAATGGCACTCGGTCCGTACCCTGTCCAAGGGGAGACTGAGACCACTGGCTGGAAGTGAACGACAAGTGAAAGAGCCGTCAGCCGTCCGAGCTGGACACCCTCCGGGACAGCTGCCTCCCTTAACTAGTAAGCGCCCAATCTTTCGGAGTTCGCAGGCATATATTGAAGAACCTCCTACGAGGATGGTAAACAAGGACTCTCAACATAATCTAGAGAGGAACTGCAGTTGTGCAAGTGTGTTAACCAAAGCAAGCCCTTAGCAGAGTTCCAGTGCCCATTTTGATTCCCTTTATTCTTCACCACGACGTTGCCTGGATCTTCCAGAGAGTTATTTTTGCCATCCTCCTTCCCATTTGTCGTTTCTTCTTCCTCTTATTAGTAGTCCAGGTGGTTGTGATTCTATTAAGGGAATGCGCTCCGTGAAAAAGTCAATGTAGTTCAACAGAAACGTGCCATTTTTGCCAAGAGCATTGCGGTTTCTCTTAAGACTTGGTTTCTTTAGGGCCTCTCGTCTCCTCTTCCAGAGTATTCGAGATAAAGTTGCAGTTTTATAAATTTATGCCAGGAGTAGGGAATTCATTTGATGACGCTAAGACATTTTCCCCTCGTTCCTGTAGGAGAACGTCATTAATTAAAGTTGTCACCACCCCCTATCCTTTTCACGTCCACTAGAGTCTGCAAAAAGCCGAATCCTTCGGAATATCTAAAAGCTTGGTGGCACAGAGCACACGGGGAGGAGAGGAGATGATTGCAAAATTAGACCCCAAATTTACTCTCCACCTAGTGAATCTGCATTGGGATTTGTCTATTTTCACATTCCCGGCATCTTTAAACTCGTTCTCACAGTGCTGACAACAGCCTTACTCTCTCCCTTCCCTTGGGAATGTTTTGTGCTTATTCTGTCCTCTCTTCTTGGCTTTCTTTCATAATGGTTTTCTAAGGAGATTACGCAGGGCTTTTTAAAAAGAAAACTACTGATAATCTTATACGATGAAGATGTACAGATTTTGCTTTAATAATAGTCTAAAGAATTATAATCATTATCTTTGGAGTTGTAAGGGTCATTACTGTACCTTTTACTTCATTCTTGAGAAAGCCTTTTGAAATATCCCTACCATGCAGATAAGCAACTTCAGAATAACATATTTCTCACATAAACACATGGGCAGAGTAGGTATAGTTATAGATTCAAGAGCACTGCTCTTCGTTTTACAATATCTGTATTAGTGTAAATGTCCAATGTGCTGTTTGCTACGGACCAGAGGCAGCGGACTGGGTGCATCATATTATTAACTAAGTGAGGTCAGTGAATACTGTTACCACTGTCTTTACCTTATTTCTGATTGTGTCATCTTTTCATGTAGGTTTTCATAAGTGTTATAAACAACTGCAAAACCCAGAGCTAAGAGGCCGTTCGAATACAGAAATAATGAGAAAGTCATGCTGAAAAAGGAGACAGTTTACTAAGAAGGCTGATGTGTCTGTAGCCAAAGGTAATATATAACAATGTAGTAACTTCTATACAGATTATATGAGGGACATGGCATTAATGATGAAACTGGATATTTTATTTAGATCCAGTAGTAACATGTCAGTTTTAATTAGCCTTGTAGGCAAGCCTAACATGTTCACCAGCCTTCAAAAAGTATTTAGCAGCCTGCTTTTCCACATGGGACCACAGTGATAGTAAGATAAAATTAAAAAGAGCAGACTTTTCTTTTGTCAGCATAAAATTTTCAGGTAGGCGGGTAGCTGTCCCTTCAATGCACAGACACAAAAAAATGATGAGAAATATACAACTTTCTGAGAGAGTTTTGCATAAACAGTTATAATGAAGGAGAATGTGAAGTCTGTGAAAAATTTAAATGTATCAATTAATTTGAAAGCTGCTTTATACTGAATTTTCTAAAAGTTTCTGTGTTAGAGAAAAATTTCCAAATAGATTTGAATACTAAAGACAGTCATATTAATGTACTTCTGTTGATGAATAAAAATGACACTATTCTTTTTTATAGTAGCACTGTAAATGTATTTCTATATCCATGTGCTGTTTTCTTTTTAAAAAACTTTTATTTTAGGTTCAGGTATACATGTGCAGGCTTGTTGTATAGGTACATTGCATGTGGTGGGGGATTTCGTGTACCCTGTGCTATTTTCTATTTTAAACTTCATGTTACTAAACAGCAGAGAAATCTCGGATTGCAAAACTACTAAAAAAATGCAGAAAATGAAATCTTTCCTGGGTTTTTATAATTTCATTCTAAGATTAGAGGAAAACCAGAAATTTCATCTAGGATGAATGAGATAGAAGTGCCTATGTTTCTGGGATGATGTAAAGGATGTCCTTTTACTGTGAGGTACATAATTACCTGAGAATGATGTTTTTTTCATCTTCCTCACACCTATCCAGAACTAGAAAGCTTTAAAACATAAAAGAAGACAAAATGCAAAGTCAGTAACTCTAAGACAGATGTGCTGCAATTTCAGTGACTATTGTTCCTTTTCAACCAAAGGTTTCAAAGAAGAGTTCCACAGAACAAATTCCTAAATAAAGAAATGCAACAAAGAGGACATGGCCTTAAGATTAGTAATTATTGTTTAAAGGATATTGTAGACTTTTGTTCCTGATGCTATTGAAAAAGTGGATATTTTTAAATTCAATTCAATTATTTTGATTATTTGGCAGGCATTTTGGCTTGGTTGAAATAGTGCTGGGCCAACACCCACAGCAGTTTTTCTTTTAATCAAATTCATTTTCAAGCCCTTGGAGCCCAATGACCTGGGTTCAAATTTCACCCATGCTACTTTCTCACAATGGGACCAGAACAGGCATTACACCAATTTCAGTTCCCCAACTGAAAGACTGGCCCCTGCCATGTGGAGTCACTAAGGATGCAATGTATACAGAACTCTTGAAAATTATAATGTGGTACATATATTTGCAGAGAAATCTTAAACTGGAAAAATTTTTAACTCACTTCTTAAAAAATAAATTATACAAAAAAGTTTATATCTGTTTTTATGTTTATATCTGTTTTTTATGTTTCTCGTGACAATCCTCAACAGGCCAGTATGATTATCCAGGCTTTACACAAGAGGAAAATGAGACTCGGAAAATTTAAAGATTTTGCCCATACTCACGTTCTTGATAAATGGTTGATTTTAGTCAGAAACCAATGTTTGAATTTAATCTACCTAATAGAATTAGGATTAGAAAAAATATTTATGATTCCAGTTGGGGCTATGTCATATCAAACATTCAAAAGAACTTCAAAAAATTCCACCTTTTATTTTACAGATGATGTTTTCAAATAGGTACATATATGTATATATCAGGGCTCCACCTCAACACTAATGACATATTTGCATATTTGGCCAAATGATGATTTGTTGTGAGGGCTGCCCTGTGCAATGTATGAGGATTAGCAGCATCCCTCGCTCTTGTATGTGTGTAATGTATATATGTATATTTTGTATACATACGTGTATTTATATTATGTATACAAAATAACATAGATACATAATATATATAAATGTTTTTATAAATATGTATCAATACATATTATATATACATGTATTTATATTATATAATACATAATATATGCCTTTATATATAAACATATAAACACAAATATACATATAAATACATATATAAA